TGCACCCGACCAAACTGAAGAGCAGAGCTCAAAAACAAGCCCCAAGTGGACATGCTAATTAAGCCGCCTGCGGAGTTCAGCAACCTTCCCCTGCCAACTGCCAGAGCACTCTGGGCACGCTGTCTCAAGGTCTCCACAGAAGCATCGGCTTCTAACTCCACGATCGCCCTTCGTCCGCTGATCAAACGCACATCAATTGAAATACCCATTTCCGTGCGGTTGCGGGCACATGGCGATGGGTGACCCTTTCATGCCCTGCCATACCCTCAAGACGTGGCTACTGTATCTAGACTCTGTCTTACATCCCACAACAAAATACCTTAAACAATTACATCCATAATGTTAGATACACCCATGTGGAACCTTGCGAGCTAACAAGCTAGTCGCGATGCATCTGCTGGGCTGCATAACCGCGTAATCTCCACCTCAAATGCCTGTTTATCTATGAGCCAAAACCCAGACCGTCCGGAAACAACCTCTCTCCACAGGAACGACACCCTTCTAGTAGCCCCCATAGTAACGCATTCCAGGACCCCTCTGAAGGGATCCCCAAAGAGGCCGCTGGAAAGATCTTCCAAAATCCTAAACCCGAAAAGCCCGACAAGGGTCCTCATTTAAAGGAAATTACAGGTGGGGAGTGTAGGGTATATAGGGCTTCTATAAGGCTAAGAGTAACTACCCACGTGAAAATGTCCTAGATTCATTGGGGTTTTAGGGTTCAGGGTTAATTAAAGCCCGATAAACCCTATCCCAAATCCTATTCACGCCCTACAAAGGCCCTTGAAACCCTACTCACACCCCCCTATTCAACTACATCGGCCGTAACAAAACACTCCAAGGCCCTACAAGAGCCCTTAAAACCCTATAAACCCCACCAAGCCGTACAAACCAAAAGACAGCTCCAAGCCTGTCAAGGCCCGTCAAGTCCCAGATATAAACCTTGCTATGTTCATCCTAAACCCTAAGCCCTAAACCCTAAACCCGAAACTCAAAACCCAAAACCCTAAACCCTAAACCCAAAACCCAAAACTCCTAAACCCTAAACCCTAACAAAACTCCAGGCCCCAGAAACCCCAAAGAGCCGAGCCGGGCGCCAGGTCGACGGAGCCTTGAGAGCAGGCGTGGAAAAGGGGCGTCCAGCCTGGAAAAGGGTTTATGCGTTTTAGGGGTTTGAGGGTTTGTTTAAGGATTTTGGGGTTTTAGGCTCTAGGGGTTTATAGGGTTTAGGGTTTATGGCTTGAGCATAAAGTCGTTGTAGGTACGGTTCCCAACTCGAGTTTGGAAGGTCATTAGGTTTTTGGAGTTACGGGAACTTAGAGCATAAGTAAGTATTTCGGCACTGGGAATATGGAACATATTGGTACGTAGACCCTCTGGCAATGCTTGCGTTTGTTGTGAGGGGTGTGTTGGGTCATGGTTTGGGGGTTGAAGGGTTGGGGCTTAGGGCTAGGGCTAGTTAGTGTCCCTTAATCCTAAAACCTAGACCGGGCTCAGGGCTTGAGACAGGACATTTTGGTTTCCGGCTTTAGGAGGAAAGCTTTGTGGGTGAGGCCAGCTGAGAACACAGTGATTGCCTTTGAGAGGCTTGGAACGAGTAGTAGTTGCAATGAGGAGCCCTTCGGAATGGCGTTTCGAATTCTGCAGGCTTCTATGCTACCAAATCCAGGGTCTCAAAGTGGCTTGAGAAATCTGCCTAACATGGCTCAGAGACTCAGCTTTCAGGGTTCAATAGCTCAAGCACATAATTCTGTGTTTAGGGCTTATAGGGTTTATAGGGGTTATAGGGTTTAGGGATTATACGGTTTAGGGAGGGGTTATAGGGTTTAGGGATTATGCGGGGCATAGGGCTTAGGGATTATAGGGATTATAGGGTTTAAGGGAAGGCATGGCCCCAGCTTCAGCGGACCCTAAGCCAGGCCCGTTACGCATCATGAGCTCTAACCTTCTAAACCCGTGATCCTATTCAATTATTCAATACCCTCAACCCTAAACCCTTAAGCCTTACAGCAGACCGCGCTCGCCCAGAAAACATAAGCCTGTAAAACATATCAACAAATACAACAAGCAAAAAATAGACAGGCCCTTGTAGCACTCTACGGCATCCTTGTAAGCCCCGCAAACTTAGTCCCACGATGTATGACCCTGTAAGACCAGCTCAAGAAAAAAAGCGAAGACTTAAACCCGAGAGCCTAAACCCTAAACCCTCAAACCTGAACCTTTACCCTAGAAGCATGTATAAGCCCTAAGCCCGGAAACCGGAACGCCAACCCCAAAACCTTAAAAACTGTTTGCTCCAGGCCTCGCTCATCTTTCTTGTTGAGCTGGGCCTTCGCTGAGTATCGCATATCGGGTGCCAGGGGCATGGGCTCATCGGGTTTAAGGCTTAGGGGTCATCAGTCGGCACTAGTGGTAGATAGAATCACAACGATGCTCATGGCAAGAGCATGTTCACAATGCAAGCCAGCAAAGACGATGACGACAGTGGGTTACTGTAGGCCGGCCGTGACGAGTATGACAAGTGCTCAACAGCTAACGCAGCTAAAGTTAAAGCATACCTTGTGCGATCGAAAACCAGCAGGAAACTACCGTGACCTTGAACCCCAAGCCCCGGAACGCAAACCGTACAACACCGCCGACATAAAGCACACTTGTGGGATTTCGGCAACAGCAAAGAGGAAAGCAGAGAAGAGGGGGATCACAGGATAGCACCATGCACAGCTTCTTTGAGTAGAATGTCACAAACTTCATTGCAGGTACGTTCCCAGGACGTCTCCCGAGAGTATCAGCATGTGCAAAGGCCCTCTTTGTTGGGCTGGCGACTGGTGCACATGTCCAGCCCCCCTGCATTGCGAAACGGCAGACAACTGTATCAGTGACCTTCTCTTCCCCTGCACAAAAGAGGTTCACACACGCAGTCCCAACCCCGAAACCCAAAAAAACAAACCCTAAATCTTATCGAACTCCGAAGAGCAAGAAACCTTAATTGGGTTTATAAAGTAGTTATAAGCATAGTTACCCAGAGACTAGCCCCAGTTACTATAGTCCCATGATCCCTTATAGACCCCTAAACCCTTATAGATCCCCTATGGAACCCTTTTGGAGCCCGTCTAGCCCTCTGAGGTACCCTTTAAGAACCTCTCCTACGGCCCGAAATCCGATCCCGGCCGTTCCAATGCTCGCGGAGTGAAGGCCTTGCGATCTACGAGAAGCTCGACGAGGCGAAGACCTCGGCTCTGTTTTGGGTTTTTCAGGGTTTTAGGGGCTCTAGGGGTTTTAGGGGTTCTAGGAGGTTTGGGGGTTCTGGGGGTTTTGAGGGTTTTAGGTGGTTTGGGGATATAGGGTTCACCTTAACCCCCGAATCACCCACATTTTTCGATGATCTATATAAGGAACTTACAAGGAGCCCCAGAAAGGTACGTAGGTTTATGGGGTTCAGGTAGGGCTTAGGGTTTAGGGTTCAGTCTTGGCTCAACGGACTTAGGGGTAGGTCTTGGGTCTGAAGGATGGTGTGCAAGGCAGACGGGATTTTTAGGACGTTTGTGTAGCTTAGGGGCTGAGTATGTTAACCTTTCCACTTGTGGTAGGAGTATATAAACCCCAAAAGGTTAAAGGGTACTTACTCGGCCACTAAGGTCGGCTGTGGATTTGGTGGTTTGTCTTCAGAGTTTCAGGCTTGCGGCTTGGGGGTTGCGGGCTTCTCGTCAACTCCGCATGTCCGGTGCCAAGCGTAGCGTTGCATGTGGAGGTTGCGGCATGTGATGTCTATATATTAAGTTTGGGATTAGCCTGCGGTGAACAAGTTCTCTGGGTTTGAGTGGACAGCCGCACAGCCAAAGATGTGCAAACGACACTTTGTCATGCAATATGGGGGGGGGGGGG